TAATTAAAACTAAATAGTATATGCTAGAATGATGCTAAACTTGTGCGACGTCTGAGGACAAAATCAAGTGTTTTCACTGATACTTTAACTTTACCATTAATACCAGATGTAAAGCAATAACTAAAACAAAAATTAGAGAGCTGATAAATTGGCTCACTGTTTCCAGAGCAGAAGGTGCTGCTACCAAACAAATATATTACTGAGGCTTGTCACTTAACATTCTATTCATACTATGTACGTGAACATGATCTTCATTCTCAACATTGCTACTCTGAGCTGGATGAAATGGCTCTAGCTTTTATGTATGCTAAGCCATCTTGTTCTTTCTGTAAGTGGCCCAGTTCCAATGGTATTCACATAGAAGTTTTGGTCTTGACACTGGAATACTAAATGTTGACAGCTGGCATCATGCCATCATCTCTGACTGAAGACGGTGCAATTATTTTGGGGCAGATTGTCCTATATACAAGAAAGACCCACTGAGGGGACAAGAAACTATAGACCCTGTGCTACCACAATGCGTCTTGGCCATCCAGCCAATCTGGCCTCTGTGACAGTACTCTTCAAGATTCAGAGTAGCAGCCGTGTTAGTCTGTATCCGCAAAAAGAAGAACAGGAGGACTTGTGGCACCTTAGAGACTAACAAATTTATTAGAGCATAAGCTTTCGTGGACTACAGCCCACTTCTTTCAAGATTCAGTCAAAGGATGCCAGGATGCATCTGAGCTGTATCAGTTATGAGTGGCTAAGGTATAGCGTCAGTTATTTTAAACGGGTGAGAAAATGGTATATGCATTGTAAGAAGAATAGGAATTTTTTTTAAAGGGTTTGAAATCCATATGGGTAATTAGAATGTTCACAGTTACATTAGGTAACGGGGGGAGGGTTGCTTGTTTTAAGAAAGGATATAAGTCTTCATGTTTCAAGGCATAAACTAGTCCCGAACTGATGGGGATTAGGAAGAAATTTCTCTTGCCCGCAAATTATTCCATAAGTGTCCCTTACAGAATTTTCTACATCTTCCTCTGAAGCAACTAATATCGGCCACTCTCAGGGACAAGATAGTAACCTAGATGGACCACTGGTATGATCCAGTTTGGCAATTCCTATGTTTTTCTGTAAAATAAAGTCCAATCATAAGATGGAGATTTCCATTAGCAGCTTTGTGGGCCCCGTATATGTATTAAGGAAATTTGTGCTGATGTTAGATGCTTCACTTGGCTCTGGTGCAATTCATCAACATAAAGGGTTTGCACTGGTGTATATCGTTTAAATAATAATAAATAAAGCGAGACAAGATGGGTGAGGTAATATCTTTTATTGGACCAACTTCTGTTGGTGAGAGACAAGCAGAAGATAAAAGAGCCAATAAAAGATATTACTTCACCTCCTTGTCTCTCATAACCTGGGACCAACATGGCTACAACACCACTGCATACAATAAATGAAGAGCAAATTCTAAAAGAATCAGTATTCCACAGCTGAAAAAAAATGAATATTTTGCATCAAATAATGGAAAATTATAGTACCGTACTATACTTCTTCAAACAAATATTAACAATTTGAGATGGAGTCATGATAGTTGTTGGTTAGTACTGTAGTAAGAGTTCGGCTAAACTGGACCCAGCTTTTCTTCTTCTGTTTACAAAGCCCATGTCATGCTTTGTACAGCAAGGAGTGTTCCAACAAAAAATACTATTTTTCTAAAAATACAAAAGCTATTGCCAACAGTCTAGGAACAACCTCATAACACCAATCCAGCAAGAATGCAAAATGCAGGGGGAAAGATTTTAGTACAGAAACAGATTTCAGTTTCATGTTTTCAGGAGGTTCATACACTGCAATAAGATAATGTTGTTATGTTAAGATATATCTTCACATGCCTCCTTTATTCTCTCAGGGTTGAAAAGCCCAACATTGGTCTCGAAATTACATTTTTGTAAACAATTATTTTGCTTTTTGAGGTTTGTTCCTTTATTTTGTTTGGTGTTTTATTTTTTTAAACCTACCAGTCTATTCAAATCCCAGATTTATTTTCCAGTGATTCATCCTCTGGGTTTTTGTAAAATTACAGTTGACCTGCCTTTCCTGTGGCTGTTTGGAGGAGTCTTATCCATTTCAATGTCCGTCCTCCAGAGCACATACATGCACACAAATTGGAAGAAAGCAAATAAGTCTTATTTCAAACCAACCTATAACTTAATATATTCCTTACACTGACAAAAGAACCAGGCTGAAATTGTGGCCCCATTGACATAAATGGCAATACTCAATAGGGTCACGATTTCACCCCAGATTTTTCTTTTCTGTATAAAGAGTGCAGAACTGGGACCATCAGAAGTGTCTCTTTGAGAAAAATACTAACATTTAAAAGACAGCAGTATGAATCCAAAAGCATTGTTCTGAAGTCTAACAAAGTAAAAATTAATAATGTTTGCTTAGATTGGCAAAGAGGGTGATGTACATATTATTGCAGGCCAGAGGCAGCTTTAAAAATGTTCTAACTCTTCAGACGATTTGGGGATTCTATGTACAGTTTATGAATTCTGGTTATTATTGGTTTCAGAGTAGCAGCCGTGTTAGTCTGTATCCGCAAAAAGAACAGGACTACTTGTGGCACC